TAAGAGATGTCTCGCTATATGCGGTAAGCATTAGGTTTCAGCCTCACCGAAATTGGAGATAACCCCGCACCTCCACCCAACACCCCGCCACCCCTGGAACTCTAATTATTTCATTTAAATACGTATCAATCAGGATAAAAAGACAAACAACAAGTTTCGGAGGCGAGTCCGGTGCTGGATCGCCTGGGCAGCCGAAACACATTCGAGTCGGCTGATTCAAAGTCCCGTAGAGATGAGGTTCAAGGAGGGCACAAAAAATGGACATACCCAGAATTGAACTGGGGTCCTCCTCAAGTCACGAACGTGCAAATGAGGCGTGATAACCACTACACCACATGCCCGATGACGTGGGGCTCGGGCGCGGTAATACGTTCCGTGGGGGGTTTTGTCGACCGCGTATGCATTGTATTTTGGCGTAATAATCGGCGGGTAGTTTATCGGGGTAACGCAACTCTTGCCAACGTCTGTGGTGAATATCTCGGTAGGGAGTTAGATGAAAAGTCGAGTTTCAGCTCGTGGAGGTTGAGACTGGGGCGTGGTCGAACGTTTGGTGGAGGGTTTCTTGGCGGTGTGCCCTATACGTTGAAGTAACTATAGGCGGGGTGGTTTGTCGACACAACGTAGCACTTGCCAAACGTCTGTAGCGAATATCTCAGCACGTGGGTTGGATGAAGAGCGCTAACCTTACAATCGGGTTTCAGCTCCAGGAGGCCCGGTTTCAAACCACTTTATTTCAATAGTAATATCACCTCAGTTACTCGAAAAAAAACAAATACCTCATTTCGCTTTTGCCCGAATCGAGGTGGCCGAGCGTGCTGAGCGCTACTAGGAGGACCGTGGTAATTTTTGGAAGGGCGAGGATCAGAATGCCGAAGAATATCGGCACCCAGTGCAGACGTGGGCACACCGATTTCGTATGGGCAGGGTGGGCATGGAGTTGTCAAAGTCATGGTGAGATTCAGTCGCAGACGTCACGGTCGAGTTTAGCGGTATGGCTACGAGGTTGGGCTTCCGAGGACTTGGTGCCTTCCGCAACGAAGACTAATCCTCTCCGGCGCGCAAGAATATCAGCCCAGGCTAGCATAGAAGCGTAAGAGTCGGGAACACAAAAGTTACTGGGGAGGTTCATGTTGGTAGATGTTGGTGGCTGATGGTGGCGCGTGAGAAACTAAGCGCCCAGCCTGAGAACATCCGCTCAACACACAAGGGCCCAGACTCACCCCCAACCTCCACAACCAAAAGATTCACAACATTGTAATTCAACATATCTCTCCTCAGACGCGAGCCGCCCACCGATTACCAGCCCGATGTCGCGCGCGTGCGCAACAAAGAGTCCAAACCCGACCCCTCGCTGAAGATGCATCACAACTCAGCTCGTCGCCCGCAATCTGACCTCGGTTGAACCTGGCCCCACTGCAGGATCACTCGCCAGACAAACGTGCCCGCCGGCTCTACAGTCATCTGGGGCAGTCCGATCATCGGATTTTAACCCCCTGCCGTGTCGAACAAACCGTCGTTTTCGATCGCAAGATTCCTATGTTGCACTCGAGCAATAACTTCTAAATCATCAGAAATATAATACACACCCTCGGCCGCGTCACACACCATCGGTCTTTACTCCGGCTACGGAACCCGGGCGGAAGGATTAGATCCGGGCCTTTTACTTTCCCGCGGGTCCCAGCAAGACCGCAATCGAGCCAAGTCGAGCCAGCATCTGGTCGCACGCCCCTGGAGAACTCCCACAGCGCGCATTATATAGAGCCCGCTCGCTAGCCTCGTACTGTACACTATTTACGCCATGGCCACTGCCAGCGTCGAGCAACCCGACCTCACCAAAGTTTCCATCCTCGGAAAGGACTCTATCCACTGCGGCTTCCACCTTACGCCCTACATCGTCCAGACTGTCCTTAGCACCCTTCCTGCGTCGACTTATGTGCTGATCACCGACACCCGTGTTGCCGGGTTCCATCTCGCCTCGTTTGAATCTGCTTTTGCCGATGCGTTTGCCGCTAGGCCCGACAATACCTCTCGTTTCCTCACTCATGTCATCCCGCCCGGCGAGACGAGCAAAAGCCGCGAGGGAAAGGCCGAGATTGAAGACTTTTTGCTCGACAGTGCTTGCACTCGCGACACGGTCATCCTTGCGCTCGGCGGAGGAGTGATCGGTGACCTTGTTGGCTTCGTCGCTGCGACCTTGTGAGTAATCTGGCATACATGCGTTGTTCAGAGCGTGACACCTTGTCTAGCATGCGCGGTGTGCGCTTTGTCCAGATCCCCACGACCCTGTTAGCCATGGTCGACTCTTCAGTCGGGGGCAAGACCGCTATTGACACCCCACACGGTAAAAACCTGATCGGATCCTTCTGGCAACCATCCTATGTCTTTATCGACGCCGCCTATCTCGAAACTCTCCCCCAGCGCGAGTTTGTAAATGGGATGGCCGAGGTTATCAAGGTGAGTCGAACAATAGCTCGGTCGGCCGATTGTACTCACGTGATTTTTTCAGACCGCCGCCATCTGGAATGAAGACGAGTACTCGATGCTCGAGTCTTCCGCCCCTGCGCTCTTTTCCGCTATTGCCACTTCTTCGGCCTCGACCAATGCCGGCCGCACCCTCGCTACCCGTTCCGAATCCCAGTCTCTGCTGCTGCACGTCATTACCGAGAGTATCGGCGTCAAGGCGCACATTGTCACCCTTGACGAGCGCGAGACTGGCCTGCGCAACCTCGTCAACTTTGGGCATACCATTGGCCATGCGATCGAGGCTGTGCTTACTCCGACGATCCTCCACGGCGAGTGTGTTGCCATTGGCATGATCCTCGAAGGCGAAGTCGCGCGTCAGCTCGGCGTATTTAGCCAAGTTGGTGTCGGTCGTTTGACTCGCGCGTTAAAGGCATATGGACTCCCTGTCTCGGTCAAGGACCCGCGCATCACGGCTGTCCCTGCATCGCGCCTGCTCACCATCGACAGGCTGCTCGATATCATGAAGATCGACAAGAAGAACTCGGGTCCTGAAAAGAAGATCGTCTTGCTCTCGCGCATCGGCAAGACGTTTGAGGAAAAAGCCACTGGCGTCAAGGACGATGTCATTCGTCGTGTTTTGGCCGAGGCGTGCCGTGTCATTCCCGGTATCCCGCGCAACACCCCGGTTCGGATGAGCACCCCTGGTAGCAAGAGTATCTCCAACCGCGCGCTCGTCCTTGCTGCTCTTGGCAATGGTACTTGTCGCCTTCGCAACTTGCTGCACAGCGATGATACTCAGGTCATGATGAGCGCTCTTCTTGAACTTAAGGTAGGTTCTATCATAATGGGTGCATACATTTACTAATGTCTCGACAGGGTGCCAAGTTTGCCTGGGAAGATGGTGGCGAGACTCTTGTCGTCACTGGCGGCGGAGGAGCCTTTACGATCCCGCCTGTCGGCAAGGAAATCTACCTCGGCAACGCTGGGACTGCCGCACGTTTCCTCACCTCAGTCTGCACGCTCGTCGGCCCTGATTCATCCTCGGCGACCGCATCAGAAGCCTTCCCCGACGGCTACACCTTTATCACCGGCAACGCACGCATGAAACAGCGCCCGTGCGGCCCGCTCGTCGACGCGCTCCGCGCCAACGGCAGCAAGATCAACTATGTCGAGTCTGAAGGTTGCTTGCCGCTGCATATTGGCGCTGGCGGCCTCAAGGGCGGCAAGATCCAGCTCGCGGCGAGCGTGTCGAGCCAGTACGTGTCGAGTATCCTGCTGTGCGCGCCATATGCCCGGGACGAGGACGTCGTGCTCGAGCTCGTGGGCGGCCAGGTGATCAGCCAGCCGTACATTGACATGACCCTCGCGATGATGAAGACGTTTGGCGTCGAGGTGACTCGTCGCAAGGCGGCTGATGGGACGTTCCTCGATGTGTACGATATCCCTCGTGCGCGCTACACCAACCCCGAAAAGTATGCGATCGAGAGCGACGCGAGCAGTGCGACGTACCCGCTCGCTGTTGCTGCCATCACCGGCACGACTTGCACGATCGAGAACATTGGAACCTCGTCCCTTCAGGGTGATGCCGGGTTTGCGGTCAACGTCCTGAAGCGCATGGGCTGCAAGGTCGAGCAGAGCGAAAACGAGACGACGGTTACGGGCCCGCCCAAGGGTCAGCTCAAGGCGATCGGGCTCGTGGACATGGAGACGATGACCGACGCGTTCTTGACGGCCGTCGCGCTCGCTGCAGTGTGCGGCGACGGAAGCGCCGAGGGTCTCGAGTCAGGCGCGCCCAAGAACACGACGCGCATTTTGGGGATCGCGAACCAGCGCGTAAAGGAATGCAATCGGATTCGGGCGATGATCGACGAGCTTGGTAAGTGAATCATGTGATCAGGCGCGCATATTCTAACTCGCGTGCAGCCAAGTTTGGTGTCAAGACCAAGGAGCTCGACGACGGACTCGAGGTGTACGGTCAGCCGATCGAGACGCTGAACAAGAACGTGTCGGTGCACTGCTACGATGACCACCGTGTTGCGATGGCGTTTTCCGT